GAAATTGTCTTCATGCTAAACTGTGGTTTAGTTAAATTTAGTTCGCATAATCCCATCTTCTGCTCACAGAGATTGGTTCAGGGATAGGTATGTGACCCATTGGGGTCACTGAGGTGTGAGAAGGGTCTGGAAAGTAAGCTTCCTTGACCTTGCAAGAATGCTCCCAGAAGTGCCTTTCTTTTTCCCTTTGTGAGTTACCACATGTAGATATGAAGGCTGGAGCTGCTGCAGCCATTTCATTGCCATGAGGGAAGTCTGCCTGGGACCAAGATGATTCAGAGGGGACTGAATGAAGAGTACAGCTAAGTGCTAGATCTAGAATGCAGACTGAACTATACCTGATCACCTGCCCACTGCAGAACATTTGTAGTGACTTAAACCAACAAGTCTGTTTGTTGTTTATATTTGAGTTGGTTTCTGCTCTTTACAGCAGAGAGTATTTCAGCAGACAAACTGAGTTAAACAAAATTGGACAGGTTACTTAGGGAGGGTCCTCCTAGGACTTTTATTATGTTGATGTGCATTGTTAGATTCAAGAGAAACATCAAGTATGTCCTATTTCTCAAATTTATTTGGTTGTAGATTCTGTTCTTTCAGAGCCCATTTTACAGGACAAGATCTAGTCTGACTCCCAAGTCTTACAAAGGTGGAAACTGAGATCCAGGGATTTAAATGACTTTTCTAAGCTATTAGTAGTCAGTCACAGATCTGGGCCTCAAGTTTAGACCTACTGAATACCAGGCCTACAGTCTCACTTCAAAGTCATACCCCATCACTGCCCAAAGAGGTTAAGACGTTCTCTCACTGAAGATGAATCTCAAAAGAAGAATCTAATTATTCTTTTGCAGAGACTCCAGATTCCTAGGACTAGATACTAAAGCAAAGTTTGCAAATTAGGGGCTCACAGGCAAAATAAGAACTTCAGGCCAAACAAAATAGGCATGAAGTATTTGAAAAAATTATATTAGATTATTTCATTTAAATATCAGGTTTTTTAATATAAAAATATTAACTTCTAAGTTCCTTTAATAAAATTCAGACAATCTGGCAATACTAGGTTATATTTCCACATGGTGCCCAGCTCTGCTTCCTGATATGAGAACATGGGTCCCCCTGTTTGCCACAGTGCTCACCATTCCCTAGCTCATCCTAGCACTGATGTTGAAGATCAGTTCCCATTTATTAGTACACAGATAATATTGCTTTTCTTTTTGTATCTTTTCTTTTTGTATTAGACTTTTTGTATCTTTTCTTCTTGTATTAGTCTGTTTCATTCATTTAATTACTTGCCTGGCCCTGTAGTCAATTATTTTGCTATATTGAAGAAGGTAAAATTCACCAAACTGAGATGTTAATATATGTTAGAAAAAATCTCCAAGGTTAAGTAAGTTTGGAACAACACTGAGTTAAGGATGGGCAGATTTCTTTACTGTGTCTCTTTTCTTAGTTCCCTCATGGAACATGGGTTAGGAGGGCCAATATATTATTTTTTGATCCTGAATGTCTTTTTTTCAGGGACTGTCTCTTTGTCACTATTATTCCACTGAATACACTTTGGGAAATACTGCTACTATAAAACCTCTTATGTCCCTCGCTGCCAGTGAACCTGTGGACCAAGGTCTCTTTTTGCTAGGATTGCTATCACCTTGGTTTTTTCCTGTTCCCTGGAAGCTATTTTGAGAAGAGAACAACAGCCTGGCCTGTGTCAGACCAGTTCCCAGCCCAGGTCAGTCTAGGGTCTGATCAACACTGAGATTATCCCCAAGAACAGGCCCATGATTCTAGGCCCATGCTTAGGGCAGGGGATTTCTGGCAGATCAGGGAGAATAGGATCAGGCTAATTGAGGTCCACACTCATTCTTCCCTAAAGAACCAGTTTCCTGGCTCACCACTGTGTGTCTTCTCTGAGAAAAACAACAAAGGAGAAAAGTAGCAAACAAAAAGTGATGGGGTGGATTGGTTGACAGTCTCTTCAAAGAAAGGCAACCTGACAATTATTTTCCCTCTTTTTATAATTTTATTATTCAAAGGTGAGGAATGACTAAATCTCATCTCTAGGTGTTCAGTGTGCTAACAATCAAGACAATTAGATTTAGCTGAACACACACACACACACACACGCTTCAGATTAACTTTTTAGACATGGAACAGTGGCCCTGCAAGCAAAGAGACCAGAAGCACATCTGATGCTGAGGGAGGGCATTGAGTTTTTTGTAGAGGTGCCCTGGAGACAAATGAGTCCTTTGTATTCAATGGTCTCTTATAAACCCTTCCATCAGCCAGCTCCAAGTTGGTCACCCTCCATGTCCCTGGGGAAGAGAACCCCTCCTTTGAAGGAAGCCCCTAAATAGCTGCTGTGCACACCTTGAAGCCAGCCCCTCTCATTCTAGGAATGACGAGAGGGACTGCAGAACATCCGCTGGGTTGGGGTTGATAAAGTCAGAGGGATGGTGCTCCTTGAAAGAGATGGACGTTTTCCTTATCTGCCAAGAAGGCAAGCCTTCCCCTGCTAGGGACTCAGTCCTCAAAGGCTTTGGATTGCTAGCCCAGAAAGCGCTCAATCAGGGCGGTTGCTCTGTAAGCCCAGACTTGACTCCCTTGCTTCTTTGTTGGCTACATGTGCAGTCATAAAGTTAAGACCTACAATAACTCTTATCTTTTTCTCTTTCACTAGAGAAAGATATGGATATGGCTGACCAAGAGAATGTCCTTTCCCGAACAACCCTCAATGGAACCTTTGTAAAACAACAGCATGTCTAAAATTACTTTAAATAATGTGGCAAGACAGGTGGTTCACCGTTTTTGCTTTTGTTGGGACAACATCAAAGAGAAATCTTAAGGAAAGCCTTGATGATGGAGCTAACATGAGTTTTACATTTGAAAAATAAAGCAATTGCAGCTTGCGTACTGAACATTTATTATATATCAGGCATAGTGTTAAACACTTCCCGATGATGCAATTCTCATGATCACCCCAGGAAAGGTTTCAATTTTGTAGATGATAAAACGAGGCTCAGAGAGGTTGGGTCACCTGCCTAACATCATGTAGTTAATGAGTGATTTGACTCAGGCAGTGTGTTCCAGTTCATCTAATTCAATGCTCTACTGCTCTCCTGAAAAATAGTCATGCCTCTTCTGTCCAGAGGTCTCCAAATATGCTCCAGTGTGCTCATAGTCACACTGGACTAACAGTGGATGAGAATTTATGCAAAATTCTTAAATGTTAAACATATTTGAAACACCAAAGAAAATGCCACATAATAAAGACCTCTTAATTTTAATAAACAGTGGATTCAAGGGGTGCCTGGGTGGCTCAGTCTGTTAAGTGCGTGACTCTTGTTTTTGGCTCAGGTCATCATCTCAGGGTTGGGAGATCAGCCCTGCCTTGGGCTCCGCGCTCAGTGCAGAATCTGCTTGTCCCTCTCCCTCCCCCTGCTTGCACTCTCTCTCTCTCTCTCTCAAATAAATAAATAAATAAATCCTTTAAAAAAATAAACAACGGATTCAAGCTTTTTTTTTTTTTTTAAATCTGGTTTTTGGTTTTAGATCATAATTCTGACTGTGGAGAATTAAACAGCTTCACTGAAATAAAGTAATTCTATCTCCCTAATCCATCTCCTCTATAAACAGTAGCAGTAGTGGCAACAGTCACAGAAAGATCAGAGCTATAGGCCCACAAGATTCCCCAGTGGGTTTTGCTTTACCTGCTATAGACGATACACTCTTGGTTATTGATCACTTTATCAGATTTGTACCTCCGGAGGTCTTCCCAAGCATCCTTGATGGCGGTGACTGCCAGAATGATACAGATAGGTATCATGCTCACCTCAGGCTGGAAAGCATTGACCACGGGGACAAAATTCAGAACCACAATGCCCAGAAAATAGAGATTGGCAAAGCGGTGTAGCTGTTCAAAGATGTTCTTGGGTATGAAGGACAACATGGTGTACTTGCTGGTCTTAATTTGATTCCCACAATAATGCCTGTTGGGATTCTCTTTGTAGGACGGTCCTTCAAAGGGCAGGTTGGAGACTACCACTCGTTTCTTGTCTTCTTTTCTTTTCCACCTTTTCTTCCCTTCCTTTCTCATCTCTGCTCAATCCGTCTCTTTAATTCTCATAGCACGGCACATGAGTTCCCCGTAAAAAAGTTTTTTCGCTAATCAGTTCCATTGTTGAGCTGCCAGTGAGTCATGTCCCTGACATCTTTTACTTGCCTTCTCTGCTGGAAATTTCTCTCTCTTCTTTCAAAAGGAAAATTAAAAATAAAAAGCTGGTTTACAAACACCAGGTGAGAAATGACAAGGAAAAAGCTTGCAGAGAACAGGTGTACACCTGCCAGGCCACTTCCTTCTACCTGTTGAGACTCCTCCTGTTGGAATATCGACGTCACCCACGGGGATCTTCCTTTTCCACTCAGGCAGCCAAGAACAGGTGTGCCAACTCTAGGTCCTAAAACCTACCTGGTTAAGTTTTAAAAACAAGAAGCCTCAGATGCTTTAAAAGTGTTACACATTTTCTTGTTTGGGAGACACTGCCTGTCACTCTCCAAAGAGCTGCTCTTAAACTTGGTCTCCCAAGAGGATCCAGTCAATTCTAGACATCAATTCTTGAGGTTTCAACCCTACTCTTAATAATGGAACATTCCTGTATTTAATAATTTGAGTGTTTACACATGTTAAATTAAGGTATCTAAACCTCAGCACTACTGACATTATTTGTTGTGGAGGGCTATCCTGTATATTGTAAGATGTTTAGCATCATCTTTCTGCCTTTATCCACTACATGCCACTGGCAAATTCCTTCCCTATATGGCAGCCAAAAATGTCTCCAGGCATTGTCAAATGTTCCCTGCTGGGAAAAACTGCCCAGGTTGAGAATCACTGAATTAAGTGAACTTAAGAAAATAAAATGTGAGAAAAGAGACCAATCCTTTGAAAATGCTGATGAGCTTGCATATCCTATTGGCAAGAAAGCAAACAGAAGAATGATTTCTCTTACCTTTCATATATCCAGATGTTGGAGCAGTTGATCTCTCTATCAAAACGATGTCTCTTGAAGTCCTCCATGCCATCCTTGACCATGATGATGAACAGCACAATGGCCAATGGTAACATGGTGATTTCTCTGTGGAAAACTTCCATGGAGGGCATCCAGTTCAGAATCACCAGGAACAGGAAATAGAGGTTAGCCCATCTGGAAGGAGCAAGCAAAGTGTGAGTGAAAACCATGGAGAGGAAAATATACTTTCCACACTATTTCTTCCCTACTGTTGGCCTTTACCAACAAAAATGACATTCTCTTTTAGTGTCACCTGGAATTATAGTAAGGGCTTGGAAGCCAAATCCCAGACATATTCAAATGCAAATTGTTCACTAGTTGTGTGACCTTCTGGAGCTTGTTTCAACTTGTATAAAATGGGGATAGTACTAACTACTTTAAAGAGCTCATATAAATATTACAAAGGATAATATTTGTTACATACACAGTAGAGGGTTCTCAATCATAATAGTTGCTCAATAAATGATAGCTTGTAATAGTAATTACAAAATTTAGGATGATATCTATTGATATATTTTGCTTTATAAATAAAAGATGATCTTGCATGTATTATCTTGAAATTATGGCTTACATTTTTAAGTTTTTCAAGTGCATCTTGCTCCTTCTTGCTACTATGCCTTTGCACATGAAGGTCTGTTGGCAGGAACATTCCCCTGGCTCCCTTCCTGATTTCTGTTTTTACCCAGTTAATGCATTCTCTTCTTTCAGGTTATATTTCAATTATCACTTCCTCCTGGAAGACTTTCCTGACTTTCTTAACTAGGCCAGATCTCCCTCTTATTCACTCTAAGATCACCATATACCTCTCCTTGGAAGTATCTATCTAAGTCCTAATTTTATATCAATTTATATAATTCTTAAAATTAATGTCTGTCTCTTTCACTAGAAAATACAGTCGGGACAATCTCATTTCTTCCCCTCATGTATCTCTAGCAGCTAATGCATGGCCTAACACAGAGTAGAATCTAATATTTATTGAATGAATGAATGAGCAAATGAATGACAGGTCTTTTCAAGGTTTATGCATTTGGGTATTAAAGGCTATGTGGCCCAGAGGGCAGCATCTTTGTTGCAGAAATACTGGCAAATACTTGGTTAAAGCACATATTACTTGGCCAAGTGGTTGTGTACCTATGAAACTGCTCAAAGAGATTCTGAGGCAAGAAGGTGAGGAAGGTATATTTGGTCGTGCAGATTCTGTTGCTGGAGTATTTCCGGGAGACCTCGGCCCAATCTTGGTGGCACATGCTGTTGTTGGGGAACACGACCCGCTGCTGTGTCAGGTTGTAGCTTTGCCTCCTTTTGTCTTGGGACAACAGTGGTGTGGCTTCTGATGGAGACTGGGGGAGGCCATCTCTGACTCGCCACTGCCACCGGTGCCAAGATGAGTCCACTGAGAAGGCCATTTCTGGCAGCAAGCTATGGTCTGAAAACAGACACAGGAAGTTGCCATGGTCAGAAGAAAATATGGCTCACCCACTTGTCCACCTATCCATCCAAGGTAGATTCTGGGATACAATGTGAGCCAAATATGTTCAGTCCCTATAAACCATATGTTCAAGAGTGAGAGACATAAAGCAAATAATCATAAAAATAATATACAACTAGCACTGTGATAAGTACCACGAAAGCATTTAAGATACGGGGAGGGTGCTGATGACCTTGTTAGGCCTATCAGGAAAAGTATGGCCCTGTGGGCTATGACCCCCAGAGGTCAGAATGCTATCTGTGGCTTGTTCCTAAAACTGAGCTGTCCCTTCACCTTCACAGTCTTCAGTGTCCTCACTGTAGTATGAGGAAAACTAGTCTTATTCTACTTTTTTCACAAGCTTTTTGTAAGCAATGAATTACATAGTACATAAAAGTATGCTGAACCATATCTTAAAGGGAAAGGTATTCTCTAGCTCTAAAATTTCCTGGTACTGATATTTTGGAGAATGTTGTTTATGGTCAGAACCTCAAATGAGAGTAATAGGTGGGACGGAGAAGACAGTTTCTTTCCTAGGAAACTTTGGCTTGAGGTGACTGGGTTGTACAGAATGTCATTCCGTGGACCCCATTTTTTTTTTTTTAATGTAGTTGACTGGGGGTGAGGGTGGGAGACCCTTTCCTTCCTCTCCAACTCCATTTGGTGATTTCTGAAACTGAGCACTTTTTCAGACGATCCTCCTAGATGGGGGACAAATACTGCTTTATCTAGGATATTCCAGTTCCTGAGCTCTTTTAATGGAACCTATAAGCAAGCCTTCAAGTTTCCCTCTGGCCATTCTTACATGTATGAAGAGAGGTTAATAAATAATAAATAAAATATATATTTTATTTATTAAATAAAGTGAGGATATCCTGAAGGATATTATTCAAAGACATCTTTTGTAAGAAGTTATATATAATGGTGCTTCTCACTTAGTAGGCTCACAGGATGATTTTCTTTTGAATAAATGGATGAGTGAACATCAGGTATTATTAATCTTAGAATGAGCAACCTCACCTATCATTGAAAATATGATTCTTTAAAGGAGAAAAAGTTCCATTTCTAGTTTAAATGGTAATATTTTACCTTCCTGATGCCCATATGATCTGACCCTTATCATAATTCTCCTCATGAGTTTAATCAATCCAAGTGATTTTCAATCCAGAAGAGCTCTTCAGAGTCTTAAGTGAGCCCTTGTAGCAAGCATGGAAAAAATAAATGCAATTATAATGCCCATCATAATGTGACCAAAAGCAATATTATGACATATGGTAAGCCAGAAATAATATTGTGTATCTTCTTTCTCGTTATAAAAAAATGTCCCTTTCGTGAATTTTTTTATTATTGTAAAAGAAAAGGAAATGAAAAGATAATTCATGAATAGAGTTGAAAATGCAAATGAGAAATCTTGCCATGGCTAACACCATACATATCAGACTTCTCTCAATTTTAGGTAATAAGGACTTCAAAAAGGAAGACTGGATTGATATGGGAGATGCAGGTATTTTAGGCGGGGTGGTTTAAAAAGTCAATTTTTTGTATCATATTCTTTGCTTTTCTTTATTCACACGTAAAATAAGCTTTCTTAAAAATAAAGCAGATGTAGAGGGGGGAAAGACGGCGGAGGAGTAGGGGACCCTATTTCAACTGGTCCCCGGAATTGAGCTGGATATCTACCAGACCACTCTGAGCACCCACGAAACCAGCCTGAGATGTAAGAAAATCTGGATCTCTACAAACAGAATATCGCAGGCGCTTGGTTTTGAGGTACAAAGCGGAAAGCCGTGATTCTGCGGGCAGATATCGGAGGATAAACGGCAGCGGGAGGGTGCCTGGCCGTGGGGATCCTACACCGGCAGCAGGAGGGTGCCTGGCCGTGGGGATCCTACACCGCTGGTGAGCGACAGCCTCGCGCGCTGCGGACAGGCGCAGACTACAGACTGGTAGCGTCGGGAAAGAACTTTAGGGCAGCCCCGGGGTGGAGGACCAGACCGGCAGGGTCGCGCGCACTTGAACTGCAGCTCCCCGGACAGAAACCAGAGCACGGTCGTGCGCATGTGAACTGCAGCCTCCGAGTCGGAAACCCGGTGCGCAGGGGTCCCGCCGGTGAACTGCAACCTCCGGGGTGGAAACCCAAAGCGGCGGAGTCGCACGCACATGAACTGCAGTCCCCGGGACAGGACCCCAAGCGGCGGAGTGCGTGCTGCGCGAACTGGGAGTGGCTGGCGGTTTTAGAAGCACAAAGGGCAGAGACGAGCCCCGACCTGGAGGCAGGACTGGGAGCGCTGCGGAGGGGGGCACAACCCAGGCCGCTGCAGTTTATAGCAGCACGGACAGAAACGGAGACGGTG